AACTTTACCCAGAACATACAGTACCATTTTCTTTCCTTCCTACAGATACTATTAAAGGTCAAGTTTATTTCTAGTCCATTTATATTGTTTTCAATTGCAAGGTAATTCATGGTTTCAACCCTGTCATATCCACCTTTGCAATTTATAACACTCATAATAGTCACCATATTCGAATATAGGTTTAGTGCATGTTCTCCTCATGTGAGTGCCATATGAGACTCTTATTACAGGCATATTTGCTTTAGATTACACACAAACACATTGCTTTGCTGTTCATGAAATCACATAAATCAATTTTTGGTACTTATAGCTGTTATCTCCCAAAGGTAACAATTACCCTTACATGAACTGTAGTGGTGTTATGAATAGTCTGCAGTTATGCAATCCTTTGGCAAACTTTTGGGCTGCACATACACTGTACACTCTGATTGTATAGTCTTCTTTGGCCTTTCCACTAATGGATTGGTGTGTTTGGGTTTATCCTCATAATGCATTGTGTTGGTGGAGCTGGGCGAGAATGTCCAAGGACTGTACAATTGGATTGTATTATCTATTGCTTGAGTTACACACATATTAATTTTAAATACCATATTTTTCACTCCATAAGATGCACCTGACCATAAGATGCACCTAGATTTTAGGAGAAGAAAACAGGAAAAAAAATATTCTGAACCAATGGAATGCAGACGACATAGTACAGGAGATGACCAGAGACTGCGGACACAGTACAGGAGATGACCAGAGACTGCGGACACAGTACAGGAGATGACCAGAGACTGCGGACACAGTACAGGAGATGACCAGAGACTGCGGACACAGTACAGGAGATGACCAGAGACTGCGGACACAGTACAGGAGATGACCAGAGACTGCGGACACAGTACAGGAGATGATCAGAGACTGCGGACACAGTACAGGAGATGACCAGAGACTGCAGACACAGTACAGGAGATGACAGAGAGATGACCAGAGACTGCAGACACAGTACAGGAGATGACCAGAGACTGCAGACACAGTACAGGAGATGACCAGAGACTGTGGACACAGTACAGGAGATGACCAGAGACTATGGACATAGTACAGGAGATGACCAGAGACTGCGGACACACTACAGGAGATAACCAGAGACTGCAGATACAGTACAGTACAGGAGCTGACCAGAGACTGTGGACACAGTACAGGAGATGACCAGAGACTGCAGACACAGTAAAGGAGATGACCAGAGACTATGGACATAGTACAGGAGATGACCAGAGACTGCGGACACAGTAAAGGAGATGACCAGAGACTGCAGACATAGTACAGGAGATGACAAGAGACTACGGACACAGTACAGGAGATGACCAGAGACTGCGGACACAGTACAGGAGAGACTGCAGACATAGTACAGGAGATGACCAGAGACTAAGGACATAGTACAGGAGATGACCAGAGACTGCAGACACAGTACAGGAGATGACCAGAGACTGCGGACACAGTAAAGGAGATGACCAGAGACTGCAGACACAGTACAGGAGATGACCAGAGACTGCAGACACAGTAAAGGAGATGACCAGAGACTATGGACATAGTACAGGAGATGACCAGAGACTGCGGACACAGTAAAGGAGATGACCAGAGACTGCAGACACAGTACAGGAGATGACCAGAGACTGCAGACACAGTAAAGGAGATGACCAGAGACTATGGACATAGTACAGGAGATGACCAGAGACTGCGGACACAGTAAAGGAGATGACCAGAGACTGCAGACATAGTACAGGAGATGACAAGAGACTACGGACACAGTACAGGAGATGACCAGAGACTGCGGACACAGTACAGGAGAGACTGCAGACATAGTACAGGAGATGACCAGAGACTATGGACATAGTACAGGAGATGACCAGAGACTGCAGACACAGTACAGGAGATGACCAGAGACTGCAGACACAGTAAAGGAGATGACCAGAGATTGCGGACACAGTACAGGAAATGACCAGAGACCGCAGACATAGTACAGGAGATGACCAGAGACTGCGGACATAGTACAGGAGATGACCAGAGACTGCAGACCTTTGGGGAGCGGAGGGGGGGAGCGGGTACCCGAATCTGACAGGTACCCGCACCCACTTCCACGGAGTTGTCCTTCCTTCCCGTCCCTCCCTGTAATCTTCTGGGACACGTGATAGGTCCCAGAAAATTACAGGGAATTTCACAAAGTGCAGCGCTTCTCGTGCATGTGCAGAGGGCACCCGGCTGTGAAGCAACAAGATGTCACAGCCGGGTGCCCATGCCGGTGATGGGGAGAGAAGACTGAGGACACCACTGGACCGAGGAACAGGTAGGACTGCTGGAGGTCTTCAGAGAAGAGCCGAGCGGCCTGCCCATGGGGAATATCGGGCAGGCCACTCCATATTTGCTCCATAAGATGCCCAGGCATTTTCCCCCATTTTTTTGGGGGGGAAGTGCTTCTTATGGAGTGAAAAATACGGTACATATTATTTATAAACGTATTCTTATGTAGCATTTACCCCCAAAGGAGCCATTTAATGTAGCGGGGTTTTATTTACTAGAGCTGGAAAGTACAAAATTAGGCTAACTACTGCATAGAAACCAATCAGCGTCTAACCTCAACTTGTCCAATGAAGCTTTGGCAATAAAACCTGGAATCTGATTGGTTCCTATGCAGAAGTGAGCCTGATTTTGCACTCTACAACTTTAGTAAATAAACCACATTGGGTCCCCTGTTCTTGTGCCCATGACTTTAAGCAGAGCAGTGCCATAGAATCTGCCACACGTGGCTGGGTGGGGAATTTTTATTGCATGCAGCTATAAATACACTCCAAAGCAGGGGCGGACTGACAACTCATGGGGCCCCTGGGCAATAGGGGATCATGGGGCCCCTGTGTCCTTGTCCAAACTCAAAAAAGCCTATGAAAAAGGTACCAGGGGCATCTCGTGGGGCCCCCTACTGACCCCGGGCCCTCGGGCAGTGCCTGAGTTTCCAAATGGTCAGTCCGCCCCTGCTCCAAAGACTTAAGGTGCATAGACACCAGGAATGACACAGCAGTTGGTTAAGTAATAGCAAGAAGTATATTGCAACAGCGTAAAGAAAGAAGAAATATATTAGAATGGATAAACAGTAAAATAAAATATACTGCAACAGCAAAAAGGTCATAGATATATATTGCAAAAATTAAGCAATAGAAGTAATATGCTGTAGAAACAATAACTATGTATAAAACACAACCCCTGTTTAACCCTGTACTGGACAACCCTAAGCAGGAGTATATACAGTATGTATATATATATATACAGAGAGAGAGGGAGAGAGAAGAGGAGAGAAAGAGGTAGAGGGAGGGGGAGAGAGAGAGAGAGGGAGGGGGAGAGAGAGAGTTGTCATATTTCACATGACTGTCATATTGACTGTCATATGCGTTTAAATGTTTTCTATTATTTGTCTCTGCTCTTCCCTTTCCTTAGTTAATGCTGCATAGATAGCCCTCCCCCTTTCCCAGAGATGCATTGCAGCAAGCCTTATGGCATGGAGCAGGAAACATTATGATCTTTTGACCTATCGAATGTTCATTGTTGTAAGATTCTCTCAGTTTATGGAATAAACTTCACAAGATCTACAAGATGTCTTATCGATTGAGTCACTGACTGTGGTATCGAACTGAGGTTGAAGTTATCGCTATCTCATCACAACTGTAAGTTACAGAGATCACACTATCAATGCTTAGATTGGACAGACAGAGCAAGAGTACTGTTCAAAAGTTTTGGGCAAGTGTGAAGAAACGCTGTAAAGTAAAAATGCTTTTAAACATATATATTTTATTTGTTTATTTTTATCATTCTATAAAATGCGTGAATGAGTGAACAGAAGAAAAATCTAGATCAAGCCAATACTTGGTGTAACTACCCTTTGGCTTCAAACCAGCATACATTCTTCTAGGTACAACATCATGGAGTCTGTCTGGGATTACATGAAGAAACAGAAGTATTTGAGGCAGCCTATATCCACAGGTCTGTAGTTAGATCTCCAAGATGTTTGGAACAACCTACCTGTTGAGTTCCTTCACTCAGAATGTGGTGCACCTGTGCATGGCAATCAATCAGCTTCTAACCTCAGCTTGTTCAATTAAGCTTTAGCAATAAAAAACCTGGAAGCTGATTGGTTTCTGTACAGAAGTACTTGAGATTCGGAGTGAACCAGCTTTACTAAATTAACCCCTGTGTGTTTTTTCTGGGAGCAGGTACCTAGGTGAAAATTACATCAGCTTGGCCCAACCCCCCCGCCTGCAACCTATGAGACCAGTTTGACAGCACCACGCCACCTCCTGCATGTGCAGTGGAAAGTCAGCTGTGAGACATCAGGTAGTCACTGCCAGTAAAGGCACCACTGGACTCTTGGGCTGGTAAGTACCTCTTTGTTAAAAGTCAGCATCTACAATATTTGCTGAATTTAATTTTTTAAAATAGAACTGAAGTTCATCTTTAAAGTAATTGTAAAATATTACTTGCAGGACTAACCATGTATACACACCCCAATACCACCTAGAACTGGGTTCTTAGAGATTGACCTCTAATCATAGACTGTCAATGGATTTCCCCCATAAACCTTTTGCCTAGCTGTTGAAATCCTCATCAGCAATCCTACTATGACATTAACCACTTGCCTACAAGGCACTTTTACCCCCCTTTGTGCCCAGGCCAATTTTCAGCTTTCAGCGCTCTGACACTTTGAATGACAATTGCGCAGTCATGCAACATTGCACCCAAATGAAATGTTTAGAATTTTTTTCCACACAAATAGAGCTTTCTTTTGGTGGTATTTAATTACCACTGGGGTTTTTATTTTTTGCACTATAAACAAAAAAAGAGCTAATTATTTGAAAAAAAAAAGTTTTTCTTTGTGTCTATTATAAAATTTTACAAACAGGTAATTTTTCTCCTTCACTGATGTGCGTTGATGAGGCTGCACTGATAGACAGCACTGATGGGCACTGATGAGGTGGCACTGATGAGGCAGCACTGGTGGGCATTGATGAGGAGGCACTGATGATGCTGCACTGATATGCAGCAATGATGGGCACTGTGGCACTGATAGGCAGCACTAATAGGCACTGATAAGCGGCACTGACTGGCGCCACTGCTGGGTACTGACTGGCACCACTGCTGCGCACTGATGGGAGGCACTGCTGGGCATTGGTGGGAGGCACTGCTGGCTGGCACTGCTAGGCACTGATCATCATCAGATGATCAGTGCCGATCTGCTCTGTGACAGTTGCTGGTTATCTGTGACGGCGTGAGGAAAGTGCAGCTGATAACCGGCAACTGTATTTATTCGATGATCTGCTGTGTCATTGGACATAGCTGAACATGTAGTAAAAGGCCACTGTGATTGGCCTTTTAACTCATCACGTGATCAGCTGTGTCCGTAGGACACAAATACACAGGTTATCTATAACTAGTGAGATTGTTACTGTTGCTTTCGTGCTTTGCTAAAAGATAATGATGAATGGTTACTAACAATGTTACTGACACATTGGGGGTTATTTACTAAAACTAGAGAGCGCAAAATCTGGTACAGCTCTGCATAGAAACCAGTCATCTTCCAGGTTTATTGTCCAAGCTTAAAGTGTTACTAAACCAAGGACCCTGCATTCACTATATCTGGTCTTCTTCAATACACAGAACATGGAAGTGCAATTATTTTAGTAAATATAAATTGCTAAATACTTTTTCTCATCAGCAGTTAGAGCAGTCTTGTGACTTCTATCAGTGTTCAGCAAAGTACTGGTTTAAGCTTGTAGGAGGAGTTTTCTTTCTGCTCTAGGAGGATGCAGAACCCCTGACCTCTGTCTATAAAGTGCTGATTGGTCCTTTGCTGATCAAATGCACACTCCCAAGAAAAATAAAAACCTATCTAGCAATACAAGGCAAACTGACTACGTGCAGAGTGTCTCCACACGATATATCTTCTCAGAAGATAAGAGGGGGACACTGGAAGAAGAGGAAAATCAGAGAAGTCAGGATCAAACAGCATTATTACACAATGCAGAGGATTAACCCCTTAGGTTCCACAGTGAGTATTTCAAGCATGCTTTACTGCCTATACAGGCTGATTTTACTGTTGTTGGCTTAGTAACACTTTAACTGAACAAGCTGAAGTTAGAAGCTGATAGGCTACCATGCACAGCTGCTCCAGATTCTGATTGCACAAATTTTAGTAAATCTCTCCCATCAAGTCAATTTCTCCGCTTTGATTTCAGGTTTAATAATGCAGATACTCCTTGCCCTCCTGAGGATTTACCCTCTTTCCTGACCAGACGATTTTTTGCAATACGGCGATGCGTTACTTTAACTCACAATTGCGTGGTCATGCAATACTGTACCCAAATGAAATGTATGTCCTTTTTTCCCACAAATTGAGCTTTCTTTCGGTGGTATTTCACCACTTGTGCATTTTTTATTTTTTGTACCATAAACAAAAAAAGACCCACAATTTTGAGAAAAAAAACAATATTTTTGACTTTTTGCTATTAAACATGTCCAGAAAAAAAAAAAAATGTAAAAATCTAATTTTGTCATAAATTTAGGTCAAATGTATTCTGCAATATGTCTTTGCTAAAAAAAAAAAATCTCAATATGTGTAAATTAATTGGTTTACGTGAAAGTTATAGGCGGTATATATACTGGAATTTTTTTTTATACTAGTAAAGGCTGCGATCAGCGACTTATAGGGGGACTACGACAGGCATTCTGACGGGAAACTGACTTGGTGTCAGTGACATCCCTAGTGACACCAATACAGTGATCAGTGCTAATAAAATGCACTGACACTGTACTAATGGCACTGGGCAGGAAGGGGTTAACATGTGGGACGACCAAAAGGTTAACTGTGTGCTGTTTCACTATGGGGGCTGTGTGTGTGTTTCACTGTAAGCACCCTGTTTTTTATGGCTCTGCTAAGCAGAGCAAAGAAAGCAATGTGCAGGAGCTGACAGGGGAGAGATCTGTGTTGTTGATACACAGGTCTCTCCCCCATCGGAGATACTCGGCGATCACCGGGTGCTGGCGAGAAATCACCGGCAGGGACCCAGTGATTGACAGCTGAGGCCACAAATGGCGGCGCAGGTAGGTTGTATATTTATGTGATTTTGCACACCCGTGCCACCCTGTAGCAGTATTTCTACTACAGGGCGATGCAGAACTGGTTAATTATTCAGAAATTCAGTCCCATACCCAGGGGCGGACTGACAACTCATGGGGCCCCTGGGCAATAGGGGATCATGGGGCCCCTATGTCCTTGCCCAAACTCAAAAAAGCCTATGAAAAAGGTATCAAGGACATCTCATGGGGCCCCCTACTGACCCCGGGCCCTGGGGCAGTGCCCAGTTTCCAAATGGTCAGTCCGCCCCTGCCCATACCCCCATCATCTGAATACCATAGCCCCAAGGATATGGATGCCCATGGTTCAGAACCCCTGATCTGAAGTCTGTCAGTAGCTTAATGTCCAGACAGAAAAAATCATTTATTTATCAATCTCGATTGCTTGTCTTTGCTCACTAATCCATTACCTATTTGCTTTCGTCTTATTTGCTGCACATGGTGGAGTACAAAGTGTTTTCCCATGAGTTCAAAAGTCTTCCAAATATTAGCTTACAGAATTGACAGTACTTGGTTACCAAGAGCTGTTGTTTGCTGGAATAAACAGTAATTAAAAAGCATTTGTCAGCTTCTTTCAGATGTTTTTGTAAGTGAGTTGAAACCCAGGTCACCTGTAGCAGGTACAACATAAATAAATAAAGGCTTACATGACAATGTCACCTTTGCTGTAATCTTTATCTCTGCAAGTTTTGACCAAACATCCCCATTTGTCTTTCAAAGAAGCGGTCATTATTCCTTTTGTTTTTTTTTAGATTATATTTTATGTCAAATCTTCTTATCTGTCTAATACGAGAACATTCATTAATGTGTGCAGATCAATATTTGTGTAGTCTAGCAAATACTAAATAAATAACTCCTTCATATATAAACACACTCATTGTTAAATATGAAAAATGCCAGCTGCCAAATGTGTATTTTAACTTTATTACATTACCTGCCTATGTTTGTTGCACATGAAATTAGTTGGCGTTGAATCATTAGAAACATTTTAAATACATATATTATTTAGCTTTGGCCAGTCTTAATGATTGTGTTCATGGAAAACTATGTGAGCCAAAGTCACTCACTAATCACCTGTACTCAAATATTAATACTAAACTAATGCAGAAGTTTGGTGGAGGCTGGATTATTGTTCTGTAATGAGTTTGCTCAATAAACTAATGGCTTATGACATGATGGAGATATAATTCATTTATGTTTTCAGGCTCAGCCTTTGGAACACATATTGCCATGGTCAACAGTGGAAATTCAGGTTATTATAAAGCCTTTTACTTGTGAGTGCTGAAAGAGACACTTTACCGCAAATTGTTGCAGCTTGCAGATTGCTCCCAAGAGCATTCTGGTAAAAGAAAATGAACTGTTCCATTATAAGTGCCCGTTCGCATATATGCGGATTGGATGCGGTTTCAAATAACATTGCTTCCTATGGTGTCTGTTCACATATGTCCGGTGCACTGGCAGTGAGGATTCAGTGCAGTTTTAAAAAGAGTCATAGAAGTGATACAGCGCAAATAATACAAATAATAAAAATGTGAAAAATTATATATTAAAGTCCAACAAAAAAGTCCCAAATTAAAGTCCAATGTCCCAAAAATTTAATTTGGGACTTTTTTGTTAGACTTTAATATATAATTTTTCAAATTTTTATTATTTGTTTTATTTTTGCACTGTATCACTTCTATGAGTATATTTTGATGTTTAGTTTATTTCTGAACAGCAGCATTTATTTTTTCATTTATTCCTTTGGCGCAAGTTTTCTATATATTTTGTATGTTAAAAAGAGTCATGCCTGATTTCTGAGCAGTGCCTTCAGGTTCAAGAGCAGATTACAGGCTATTGACTTCTATAGGAACTGTTTTTACACCACATATGTGTGAACAGGATAAGATCCTGACCTAATCCTGTCCTGAACCTGATGTATACCCAGGGGCGGACTGACAACTCATGGGACCCCCGGGCAATAGGGGATCATGGGGCCCCTCTGTCCTTGCACAAACTCAAAAAAGCCTATGAAAAAGGTACCAGGGGCATCTAATGGGGCCCCCTACTGACCCCGGCCCTCGGGCAGTGCCCGAGTTTCCAAAGGGTCAGTCCGCCCCTGTGTATACCTGACCTGAACTGCTGAGCAACTACTCTATCAATTAGCAGTGAAACCTGAGCTTCAATTACTGCATATGTGTGAATCAGCTGTGAGTGTTTTTCTATTTCACGTGGTTTTGGAACAATTACATTAAAAACCACTTGCCCTCCAGAGGATTTACTCCCCCCCCCCCCCCTTTCTGACCAGGCAATTTTGTGTTACGGCACTGCGTTACTTTAACTGACAATTGCACAGTCATGCAACACTGCACCCAAATTATATACATCCCTTTTTCCCCCACAAATAGAGCTTTATTTTGATGGTATTTGATCACCTGTGCGTTTTTTTTTTGCACTATAAACAAAAAAAGACCGACAATTTTGAGAAAAAAACTATATTTTTGACATTTTGCTATTAAACTTGCCCAATAAAAAAAATGTAAAAAATCTATTTTCATCATAAAATTAGGGTAAAATGTATTCTGCTACATGTCTTTGCCCAAAAAAATCCCAATACTTGTAAATTAATTTACGTGAAAGTTAAAGAGTTTACAAATGGTGATATATATACTGGAATTTTTTATAAATTTTTTTTACTAGTAATGGCGACGATCAGCGACTTATAGCTGTACTGTGGCAGGCATTTTGACACTGGGGGGAACTAATTTAGTGTCACTGACATCCCCAGTGACACCAATACAGTGATCAGTGCTAATAAAAAGAATGGACACTGTACTAATGGCACTGGGCAGGAAGGGGTTAACATGTGAGGCGATCAAAGAGGTAACTGTGCTGTGTGTGTTTCACATTATGTGCTGTGTGCTGTTTTACAGTGTAAACACACTGCTTTCTATGGCTGTGCTATGCAGAGCCATACAAAGCAGTGAAAGGGAAACTCATACAAATGAGTGCAGAGAGGCCACTCCAGGTGAAATCATGTGAACAGTTAATCATGAGCTCACCACTGCTGCCTTGTTAATCATTTGCATGATGAAGAGAACTGAACAAAATAGGTGCTGTGGAAAATGCTCTCAGTCAAGCACCTTAGTGAAGGTGCATCTTTATTGGGTGAGACAAAGTAGCAAATATAATAAAATATGACCAGCCTGAAGTGAACAGTGTGACTCCAACGGACGGCCCGTCTGCTCTGAAGGAAGCTGGGATCGGAGAACGCTCCTGTTGGCTTCAAATCACGTGGTGTCAGCGTACCGGCGTCCCGGGTGGTGGTCAAATTTTATTATATTTGCTACTTTGTCTCACCCAATAAAGATGCATTAAGGTGCTTGACTGAGCATTTTCCACAGCGCCTATTTTGTTCAGTTCTCTTCATCATACAAAGCAGTATGCAGGAGCTGATGGGAGAGAGATCTGTATTGTTTACATAAAGGTCTCTCCCCCATCGGAGATACTCGGTGATCACAGGGTGGCGGCCAGTAATTACCGGCCAGTATCTGGTGACTGACAGCTGAGGCCGTGAATGGCAGCACAGGTAGGGCCTCTACACAGAACTGCAAAATCGTGTATATATGCGTGATTTTGCGCACCCCTGCCACCCTATGCTGCTACAAGAGGGTAAGCGGTTAATTATTTTTGGTTAAGAGTTTGTTTGGACAGCCCTGTGCTTCATTGGTGTATTTAGGTTTTGTGCTGCCCTAGGCACAACAAAAATTGTCTGCCCACACAGACACCGACCAATACCATCCCCCCTTCCGCAGACAGAGCCTGACATTGACCAACAACACCCCTGCCCCCCACCTATGAGAGCTTTCCACTCCCCCCTCCCCCCCCCCCCCCCCGGTGATAGAGAGACACCCATCTTCACAGCTCCGGACATCCCCAGGAATGAGAGTTAGGCTCTAAATAAACCATCAAGCAGCCCGCAACCTCTCTCGGATCCTGGTTCCCATGGCATGCATGTCCCTTCTTCCATCCCTTCTTCTGGGGGGAGGTGCTGCCTCCCCTGAAAAATGCCGCTCTAGGCAAGTGCCTTGTTTGCCTTGTGGTAAATATGCCCCTGCTGTGCTTCAGACAGTATATGCAAATCAGCAAACACACTTCTCTTTTTTTTTCACAAAAAAATACACCTATTGATTGAACAACGAGAAGGCTTAAGAACTTTGCTATTGCTTCCTGTCAGCAAGCTGCTTGTTATAGATGGACAACACCACAGAGCATCCTCCAGCAATGTATGGGGTCCTCAAGCTGACCTTTCTACCTTCCAAATATTCATTATCCTCATGAAACATTCAGCCCAGGGGCAGACTGACCATTTGAGCACTCAGGCATTGCCCGAGGTCAGTAGGGGGCCCCATGAGATGCCCCTGGTACCTTTCATAGGCTTTTTTGGGTGTGGTTTTGAGTGTGGGCGAGGACACAGGGGCCCCATGATCCCCTACTGCCCGGGGGCCCCATGAGTTGTCAGTCCGCCCCTGATTCAGCCATTTAAACCCAGGCTGCAACTACTCCAATGTATTCTCCTCCCTTATCACTGGGAAGGCTTCTCACACCACCTATTTCAATTGGGGCTCATAGGTCTTTCTCAAGCACACCTAATGATCTTTCACCTCTATGACCATCTGTCATGTTATACACCAAGAAAAAGTTATCTAAAATACATTTAACAAGCATTTACAACATATTTTAGACTTTAACAATTTCAATGTTCAGAACATATTAAAGTGCTTGTAAAGGATCAAGGTTTTTTACCTTCTTGCATTCTATGAACAAAGGTAAAAAACCTTCTAAGTGCATCCCCCCAGTCCCCCGTAATACTCACCTAAGCCCCCTCTCGATCCAGCGACGTGCACTGAAGTCTCGGCTATTCCGGGATTACCTCTTCTCATTGGCTGAGACAGCATTTGGCTTCCGTTGCTGTCAAACACAGCCAGTGAGCCAATGAGAAGTGAGGGGGGAGGGGCTGAGCTGTGGCTCCATGTGTGAATGGACACATGAAGCAGCGCCTGAGGAGTACACATGCTCGGATGCCCCCCATAGGAAGCTGCTTTCTGTGAGGGCACATGACAAGAGGGAGGGGCCAGGAGTACCAGCGGGGGACCTGAGAAGAGGAGAATACAGGCTGCTCTGTGCAAAATTCAAAAAATAGAACTATCCAGTTCAACTTGCCAGCCTACCCCAGTCTAATCACGGCTATTGTCGGCAAGGAACATGGATATGTATAACTTATCAACAGAGGGGGATAAGAAAGCCAGTTCAATCTGCCAGCCAGTTAGCCAACTATCAAAAACCAAATTGACCTATCTAGAAACATGCATTTAAAAACAGGGGTTTAGTTAGCACACATTTGCAAATACATACTTAAGCCACAGAGCCACTTCACGGCACCCTGAGTATCTGTGGTCCTAACTCTATAAATCTTGAGAGTCCTCACAATGGAGGCACATGCATTTAAATGGATAGAAACAAGGGCAGATAAACGTGAAGGGGCCCCACCCCTCATTAAAGGTTATGGGGAGCGCACCTGACACCCAGCATATAGCACAACAGCAGCTAGGGAGTCCAGTGCACCCACTGAACCTACAAAGCATACAAAGAAAAAACTGATCACCTGCCCAGGTCTATAACTGGCTTTTTAAACAGTGAACATGGAGGGCATGTTTCTAGATAGGTCAATTTGGTTTTTGATAGTTGGCTAACTGGCTGGCAGATTGAACTGGCTTTTCTTATCCCCCTCTGTTGATAAGTTATACATATCCATGTTCCTTGCCGACAATAGCCATTATTAGACTGGGGTAGGCTGGCAAGTTGAACTGTATAGTTCTATTTTTTGAATTTTTCACATAGTATCGCCCTCCATGTTTTTTTGTATGCTTTGTAGGTTCAGTGGGTGCACTGGACTCCCTAGCTGCCGTTGTGCTATATGCTGGGTGTCAGGTGCACTCCCATAACCTTTAATGAGGGGTGGGGCCCCATTACGTTTATCTGCCCTTGTTTCTATCCATTTAAATTCATGTGCCTCCATTGTGAGGACTCTCTAGATTTATAGAGTTAGGACCACAGATATTCAGGGTGCCGTGATGTGGCTCTGTGGCTTACGTATGTATTTGCAAATGTGTGCTAACTAAACCCCTGTTTTTAAACGCATGTTCTTAGACAGGTTAATTTGGTTTTTGATAGCTGGCTAACTGGCTGGCAGATTGAACTGGCTTTTCTTATCCCCCTCTGTTGATAAGTTATACATATCCATGTTCCTTGCCGACAATAGCCATTATTAGACTGGGGTAGGCTGGCAAGTTGAGCTGGATAGTTCTATTTTTTGAATTTTTCACATAGTGACCCCCTCCATGTTCACTGTTTAAAAAGCCAGTTATAGACCTGGGCAGGTGATCAGTTTTTTCTTTGCTCTGTGCAAAACCACTGCACACAGCAGGTAAGTATAGACATGTTTGTTATTTTTTTAATTTTTAATTTAAGCTTTTAGAATCACTATAAAAGCGGTAGGAAGGTGGTGGAAAAAAAAAAAGGTCACCCTGTAGGCAGATTAAGACAAATTTACCTTTAAAATGGATCCCTCCAGCAGTGCACTGTCACTGCTGACAGTGATTCCTTCTTCACATGGTCTTCCTTCTCGGTTCGTTGGATCTGGCCATTTAAATGACCGAGCAGTGATGACATCACTCCCGCACATGCACACAGGAGGCATGATCATGGTACAGTACTCTCAATGGACAGCATACTGATGTGATGTCACCAGAAGCTACACATTTGAATATCTAAACTATGCATGTTTAGTATATATTCACTGTACCTACAGGTAAGCCTTATTATAGACTTACCTGTAGGTACAAGATAAGCAAGTTTACTACCGATTTAAAGCAGAACTCCATGAAATCTTTTTTCTCATGCAGTAGGGCTGAGCCTGCACTGCATTGGTTAACTGCTCATTTTGTCCAGGGGCACACAAAAAGGCTATACTTACCCAATCCTTCAATCTTCCCAAAAACAGCACTTTCCCATGTCCAACGGTTGGATTAGCAATAGGGGTCGCAGTGGTTGCAACTGTGACCCTGCCCATGCTCCAA